GGCCAGCCAGTCTCTGGGCAGAGAATCGTCCATCACAATGAGGAGCTGGCTGGAGAGCATCATTTGTGCACGAAGAAGCAGTGCCCACCTGTGCCCACATCTGTGTGCCAGGGCAAGGGCCTGGCTAACCCCCTCTCTGTCTCTTGCCCAGGCTCCCCCTCTCAGCGACAGCCCCCGGCGGGCACCTGGGCGGAGAGATGAACCCCACCGTCAGCATCGCTGTCATCCTGACAGGTACTCCAGCACCTCCCGCCCGGGCAGCAGCCAGGCAGGGGCTGTGTGGGCACCCCCAGCACCCCCCTCTCCCCTCTCTTAACCCCTGCTTGCCTCCCCCAGTCCTCCAGGCTGCCCACTGCCAGATGATCAAGGACCTGAGTGCCTGCCTGCTGGGCCAGAGCCTCCGGGTGGACTGCCGCTACGAGAACAAAACCAGCAACCCCCTGACCTACGAGTTCAGCCTCACCAAGGACAACAGGAAGCACATCATCCAGACCACCATCAACGTCCCCGAGAACATCTACCGGAGCCGATCCAACGTCACCATGCACAAGAACCTGGTCTGTCTCTACTTGCAGAGCTTCACCACCAGCGATGAGGGCGTCTACACGTGTGAGCTGAAGATCACCAATGACTATACTGGCAACCAGATAAAGAACATCACTGTCATCAAAGGTGAGATGGGCAGCAGTGCCAGGCCTGAGTCCTCCGTCCTCCTTCCCACCTGCTCCTTGGCTTGGCAGGCCTAGCAGAGAAAACCACAGCCCCCTACAGCATCCTCAACCCCCCCCTGAGCCCCATAAATGTTTCCCAACCCTTACATATGTCCTTCCAGCAGCAAGCAGAGCAGTCAGCCCCACAAATAGCCTCACTCTGCCCCATCTCACACTGCTATTCCTGCCTCTCTCAGGCCTCGGGCTCTTTGCCACCTTCCCATAGGTGATACTTCATAGTCAGCCCTGGCAGAGGATGCTGGTGAAGGACTGAAGAGGTCTGTGGTCTGCAGCAGGAGCACAGTGGGGATTTTCCACATTGGGGTCCTGCAGGAGCAGCTCCCCAGTTGCAGAGCCCTTCATCTTACCTGCTGCCCTTCCCCTCATCACCTCAGTCAGGCACAGGTTATACCCCCCAGGGTGTCTGTGCACCCCAAAGCTTTGACGCGAGGAGGGAGGGGAAACAGGCAAGGGGCCAGGATGGGACTTGCTGTGCCAAGAGAAAAGACAAGAGGCCGAGTCCCAGTACCCCTTGGGACAACCACTCTGCTCCCTGAGGGATTTCATTGCACCTCTTCTCTCCCTTTCCCTCCTCTCTCCTCACAGACAAACTGGAGAAATGCGCCGGCTTCAGCCTGTTGATCCAGAACACTTCGTGGCTCCTGCTGCTTCTCCTCTCCCTGCCTCTCCTGCAAGCTGTGGACTTCGTGTCCCTGTGAAAGGAAAACGCTCACCACGCACACACCCACACCCACCCACCCGAGCCCACATGCACGTCCGCACACCTCCGGCCCCCCCAGCGACCCCGCACCCCCCCTGCTGGAACGCAGCCCCTGGAAAGAGAAGCTGAACCCTCTGGAAGCAGTGAAAAGCTCTCTCTGTGTTAGCTCTATCTAGCCGTGTATCTAACGCTCCCCCGGCGCCACCCGCCCCGCTCCCCAGCATGGTGGCTCTGCCCTGGCAGCCTCTCCCCGCTCGCTGGGCTGGCTGGGTTGG